TGATGATCCCTAGGGGGAGGTGATGGATGTGTGCTCAGAGACCTCTTCAGCCAAAAATGCCCCCAACACCACAAAATGCACTTATTTGTAGTTTTTGTAAGTCTACAGTCATATTCTGTTAAAGAATTGGAATCTTAAACCTTCAGTCAGGCTCAGCCCTAGAAGCAAGTATCTCGTGCTATCCAACAGCAGCTCAGTTGGCCCAATAAAGAGAGACGTACACACCAAAGACCTGATACAGCAGTCCTTACTCAAGCTAAGCTGACAACACATGAAGCAGCAGGATGGGGCGCCTACATCTTTTCCACTCTTCCTCAGGAGGCTGAGCACAGCAACCCAGGGTCCTGTGGGGGTTTTTTTTTTTTTTAAAGGGAGACCGATGATCCAGAAAGGCCTGCCACTCTCACAGAACAGCCTCTTTATAAAAAAAAAATAACAGCACTGTAAACCAACCCCACCTACTCTGAAAGCATTCCCGCTATAGTGACCATATACCATTCTGTTTGTAGCGTGCTGTATTATACCCATCTAGCATGATATGCCTGTAAGCTTGTTCAGTTAGGTATCCATTGTTGTGACACATTTCATAGCATACAATGCCCTTCATATGATGTTCATGTTATATATAATGAACTATCAAGCCCAAGATTGGCCACATAGGGAAGGAAGCACTATATTGTAGAACTCTTCTCCATGCCAGTTTAAGATGGTATTTTATGAAATGGTCCTTTTCCCCCCTTATTTAATAAAAATGACATTAAAATTTTAAACCCCAGTCACCTTCCAACACCCAAGACTGTCAAACACACACATTGTTATATGACAGATGAGCAAAAAGATTAAGATACAACTAGATCTCCTCTGCCCATTTACACGGTTAGAACACTCCACGTACCCGAGGAGTCATGCCCAGTGTACTCATATGTCTTTTCCCAAGTGCCATTTTCTTCCTTCCAGACAATAACTTTCCTGTCGTAGGAACACGAGGCCAGAATATTTCCATACATGGGATGGGCCCAGGCAACTTGCCACACAGGACCTTCATGGCTATAAGAAACAACAGTAGTTGGGAAAGATAAGGAAAGCATGGCATTTGAAGAGGAGAAACCTCTTTCAATCTTGCCTGTTTCACAGCAGGAAAATTGCAAAGCAATTTTTCCCCCCTCACAAATAATGACCACCAGACACTTCTGTAGTGTCAAAATGAAAGTGGGAGAGCAATGAAGGGTGCAACTTGGATGCAATGGTTAAGATAAAATCCCAAATATTCATTCACACACTAGCTACTAAGAGTGCATATTTATTTCTAGAATACCAGAGATGTCAAGATTGAAAAGCATCAAGTTATTTTTAACTTGCTTGCTTTCTCCACTCACAGTAATACAAGGAAAGTTTAAAGACAGCCAGCCAGAGTAACTACTTCCCAGGAGGAATCTATAGTGCAGGTGTGAATTATTATGCACATCATTTAAAAAAAACACACACCTGTAGAATAAATATAAAATTAGAAAATTAAAAAGTTAGCTTAAGTCTGGTTAAAGAAATGTGTTGTAAAGAAAGGCCTAACTAGCAAGTAAAAGAAAGAGCATGAAAGAAATTAATTATAAGGCCAGAAGCAATGAAGTACAGAGGATGTCTGATGCAATAAGACAAACAGAACCTGTCCTAAAAGCCAGCACAGATCTTCTCACCCCACATGCCAATGTTAGTTCAAAAATTAGGACCTGTGTGACCCCAGGTGCAAAGGAGAAAAACAAAACAAAAACCTGTTTGTCAGCGGTAGAGAGGAAAGGCTGTAAATCTTCTCTGGATTAAGACTAGAAAATAAGGGTGAACTGTCTCAAATTGTTTTTTTTAGCTGAAGTCAGTACTTGGCAGTGACACCTCTTGTTTGTTAAAGGGTTTAAAAAGTAAACTCAAAGCGTTCCATTACTAATACCTGCCTGACCATGCTGGAGCCAACCAATATGGGTCTAAGTCCCACTGGGTTTAGCCCATTTGTAAGAATTTTGATCAAATGCTTATAAATGTTTTGTTACTGTTTGGATGTGGTAAGTTGCTTATTATTTACACTTTTTAGGCATGTTTGGAGCAACTGTATAAATACCATTTGGTCTTTTGATTTAATAAAGGAATTTATGGTTCATTAGTGTTGTGATAATATCCTGCATAAATAATAACAATGATTCCAATATCATCCCACCAGACATTGTCATGCCAATAATCCATTGATTAGTTACATGAGATTATTTTTCATTTAATGTACTCACCCTCTCAGGTCAGCTATGAGGATCTGCCCTCCATTCCTTACATCAAAGATTTTTACAGATCTGTCAGAGGAGCAGGTTGCTAATCGAGTACCATAATAATCCATCTGAGCATCATGCTGGAAGGTAACAGAGACTTCCATTAACATCTGCATACTCTTGCTGCATTAATAAATATTATGGATTTTATGCTTTAAAAGTAGCTGTAACAATTGTGAACTGTTTACCAAGTCAGAGCAGTAGGATAAAAAGGTTAGATAGCTTATAAATGATCTTATTCATATAAATCATTTCATTTCCCAGAGATATTTTCTTATTTTCTCAAAAGAGTTAGCTATTAAAATACAGATATTGAAAGTATTTTACACTTCTCTATGACTTGGGTATATCATTCCACTATAGTAAAAAGTAGTAGTGTCTAGTAGTTATAGCAAGAGACAGGAAGCTGGTACTCTGGGGTTCATTCTCTGCCACTGACTCTCTAGCCCTGCGCAAGTTGCTTAATTTTATTTATTTCAGCTTTCCTCTTTGTAAAATAAAAGAATACTGACCTACCTCACCTGTGTATCCAGAGGCTTCATTAATCAATGTTTGTAAGTCATTTTGAGATCCTTCCATATAAAGCACCAAAGAAGTGCAGAGTTATCAAGAAAAGGCCCTTGTATTTTCAGTGGAAGACTCACATTCTGAAGTGCCATTATACTCCCTATCTAAGTAGGCATGCACACATTAATCCTCCTCAATTTCATTCTTCCAAGTTCTCTAAGCAACAGCCTACGTTCTTAGGGTTGGGGTTTTTTTTTTTGTTTCACAGCAGCAGGTCCCAGACATTACAATGAGAGCTCTTAATTGTTTCTCCTTCCTCAACCAGCTCAACTTCCCTAGCCATCACCAAATGAAATAGGCTTAACAGCTTTCAAGGCTTTTGCTTTCTTCCATCCAAAGCTGTAACACATCCCCTTACCTCTACTACACGCTCACTCAAGCTGTCACTAGGAGGTGCCTTAAGGATAACCTCATTGAAGTCATTGGGATTGCACAGGTAACTGGGAGCAGAATTTTCCCCACTACTACACTTAAAAAAACAAAATTAAAACAGTTTTGCTCTACTGAAGAAAAAAATCCTCAGTTTTTATTTTAAAAACTAAAATACTTACAATCATGTCCTCATGAGAGGTGTCCACAGTGTTAATTACTGACACCTGGGTGGGGAAAAATAATTTATATTTAGTGCATATGCCAACCTGGAGACAGAAACTAACATAGTTTAACCAGAGGCAAATTTATATTAAAATACCTAGGTAAGATGTAATCACCTATGCTTCACTAAGGATATAACCCATTTCCATTCAATAAGAACTTCATTTCAGGTCAATCTTAGTTTATCTTTGCAAATGTTGTTGTTAAGGTGGAAAAAGTACAAATAGGCATGATTTGTTCTGGGTTTTGGTAAGTGAATTTGGCACTGACTTGGCCCTCTACGGAGAATGAAGTCCTCTCTTTTATTTATTTCAGAGGAACAGCCGTGTTAGTCTGTATTCGCAAAAAGAAAAGGAGTACTTGTGGCACCTTAGAGACTAACCAATTTATTTGAGCATGAGCTTTCGTGAGCTACAGCTCACTTCATCAGATGTTTACTGTGGAAACTGCAGCAGACTTTATATACACACAGAAATCATGAAACAATACCTCCTCCCACCCCACTGTCCTGCTGGTGCTATTACCTCCTCCCACCCCACTGTCCTGCTGGTGCTATTGCTGGTAATAGCACCAGCAGGACAGTGGGGTGGGAGGAGGTATTGTTTCATGATTTCTGTGTGTATATAAAGTCTGCTGCAGACTTTTATTTATGAAAAAGAGTGAAAGCACAGGCCCTGGCAATGCAATCCTCCACACAGTACCCTACCAATATTTTTAGCCTCTGTCCTGGAAGAATCACATCTAGAGAAGGAAGGACAGCTTGATCTCCCTGACTAGTCTTTGCTGAGGCTGTCAACAAATGTGTGTCAGTGCAAAGAGATTGGAAACTGGACTGAAACCTAACTCATTTCACAGGACCCACCTGAACAGGCATCAGCTCCTAGTTATTTCAGCTCCTTAGCCAGACTAGACTTGATGAAGCAATGCAGAAGTAAAGGATTGTACCCATCAATCCCTTGAACTGTTCAGTCCCCCTAGTAAACTTTTTGGGGATGAAGGACAAGAGAATACCCTCACCAGACATTCAGAATGCATAACTTCCCCACATTCTGACTTCATTCACCTGGCACTGCTCACTTCAGAATACCAACGAATCCTGTTTGGTTGGCAGGGACAGCCTTTTTGCATCTATTCTGCATCTTGCTAACAGTCCCTTTGTAAGAAGGCAACAAGACCACTAGGCAGCAGCTAAAATAAGGGGCCGGAGCTCCAGAGTTTTTACTCCAATTCAGACAAACAGGCTACAAAGAAGTCACTTCACCTCTCTGTGCCTCACCTGTAAAGTACAGTTCTCCAGTCTGTGAAACAGGGTTAATGATACCAAACACCCCCAGGGTGTAAAGCGCTATACAAGGACGTGTCTACACTTACAGTGCTGAACCAGTGCAGCTGCTGCATTTCAGTGAAGACATGACTATGCCAACAGGAGAGCTGCTACGGTTGGCATAGTTAATCCACCTAAGCGAAAGGCAGGAGCTATGTCAATGGGAGAAGCCCTCCTGCCGGCATAGCAGGGTCTACAATGGGGGTTAGGTCAGTATAACTACGTCACTCAGAGGTGTGGATTTTCCACGCCCTTGAGCGACATGGTTATAGCAACATAAGCTGGTAATGCCGATCCAGTCTTAGGTATATAGCAGGCATGTATCACATGTCAAAGCCCAATGTGGCTGTTAAAGCTTATGTATCTTCCAAGGAGGCACTGTAGTTTGTGGAACAGCCACGAGCAGCAGCCGCTGGGGCTACACTTCTGCTGCCTCTTCAAACAAAAGATTTATCTTCTCTATCCTACACTCTACTCCCGAGACGTTTCTGATTTGCTACCCATCACACAACAGGGTAAAGGGGGCAGGGGAACTACTGAACCGGAGCTGCTGGGGCATGGAGACATCACCCGGCCAGGGCCCTGCAGGTGGGAGCTCTCGAGCCTACGGCTGACGAGGAAGCGAGGGGCGCGTCCTCACTTCGGGCCAGTGTGAAAGCGGGGAAGACACCCCCCGCCAGTGGCCGCGGGGGAGGCGAGAAGGGCCCGTCCCGCGGGAAGCGCGGGGCAGGCAGGGGGCGCGGGATGGACCTGATCAGCCCGCGCAGATACGGGGAGGTCGAGGCCCTGGGGCACTGTCTCCCTCCCGGTGGAAATCAGCCGCTCGCGGGAACCTTACCATGGCGGCGGCGGCGGCGCTAACGCTGCTCTGGCTGCGGGCTAGGCCGGGCCGGGTTCCTGCGGCTGCAGCCGGCGGTTCTCAGACGTGGCAGCTCCCGGTCCGGCGATGAAGCCACCCCGGTCGGGAACATGAGCCCCACGCTCTTCTTCCCGTCACGCCAAGGTTCCGCCTGCCGCTCAGGCCCAGCTCGCCCACACGTCCTGCTCAGTGCGGTCACTCACCCCTGCGGGATGGGCTTCCTTACCCACTGCCAGCTCTCAGGCCCTGCTGCGCTCAAAACCTGTCCTGCTGCCTTGCCCTCGCAGCTCAGTGCCGCCTGCGGGCAGGCCTAGCTCCTCCAGCGCCAGTTGCTCTCTAGCCTGTGGGGAGCGTACCACTCTCCAGTATTAAGTTAATGACACCAAGGGAGGGGGCAACACGAAAAGGAGGACGTGTGGCACCTTAGAGACGAGCCAATTTATTTGAGCATAAGCTTTCGTGAGCTACAGCTCACTTCATCGGGGGGGGAATCTCATTCATTCCTAAAACAGCCCACGCAGTGACCCCAAACTTCCCAGGGGGCCAAATAGCAACTCCTGCAAGATTTTCCATTTCGCCTTTAAAACGGACTAGCCACCTCAGGCAGCTGCCCTTTTACCCAGATTAAAGGGCTTGCCTACTACATTACCCAGACACAGAAGTCAAAAACCAGACAGGTGGCAGCCCTACCCCAGGGAGTTGTTCCTGATTAACTCCAGCTGTGGACACTGAGTCTGGAATAAAAATGCCTGGTTCCTGTTTAGCTGAACCATAGAACAGTTAATCAGGAACAATTTAACACACTGGCAAGGCCTAAACTGCTTGTTTTGCTGTCCTATTCTCATTAACTCAATGTCTTGGAGAGAGCAGCACCAGTGGGTTAGAGCTGGTATGAACTAACAGGTGAGTTACAGTGCACAGGGCCCAGCCATACTGCTCGAGATAAGCCAAAATCTCAACTGAAACAGCCTCAAACTTATTGGAAGTTCACATCTGGCTAAAAACATAGGGATTTGGGACCCATCTTTATAATCAGCTGAACCAAAACCCCAGCTCCAAATATTTCTAATCTTTGGCCAGCATCCACTAGCCTCTCTAATAGGGTTACCAACTTTCTACTCCCACAAAACCAAACACCCTTGACCCGCCCCTCCTCAGAGGCCCTACTCATGCCCTGCCCCTTCTCTGAGGCCCCACTCGCTCCATCACCTCCTCTCTCTGTCACTCGCTCTCCCCACTCCTCACTCACTTGCTCATTTTCACCTGGCTGGCTCAGGAGGCTGGAGTGTGAGAGGGAGTGAGGGTCTGGCTGGGAGTGAGGGCTCTGGAGTGGAGCCAGGGATGATGAGTTTGGGGTGTAAGAGGGGGCTGAGGGGTGGACCGAGGGGTTTGGAGTATGGGAGGGGGCTCCGGGCTCAGGCAGGGGATTGGGAGGAGGTATGGGCTCTGGATGTGAGTTCTGGGGTGGGGCCAGAAATGAGGGGTTCAGGGTGCAGGAGGGGGCTCTGGGAAGGGGCAGAGGATTGGGGTGGGGGGGTGAGGACACCAGCTGGGGGTGTGGGCTTTGGGGTGGGGCTGGGATGAGGGGTTTGGGGTGCAGGAGGGTGCTCTGGGCTAGAACTGAGGGGTTTGGCGGGCGGGAGCGGGATCAGAGCTGGGGTTTGGAGGGGGCTCCAGCTGGGGGTATGGGCTCTGGGGTGAGCATGAGGGGTTTGGGATGCAGGAGGGTGCTCTGTGCTGGGATTGAGGGGTTTGGAGGACAGAAGGGGGATCAGGGCTGGGGCAGAGGTTGGGGCCCAGGAAGGGGTCAGGGGTGCAGGCTCCAGGAGGCCCATACCTCAAGCAGCTCCCAGAAGCAGCTGTTCTGGTTCCTACATGGAGGCGCTGCCCTGTCTGCAGGTGCTGTCCACACAGCTCCCATTGGCTGCGGTTTCTGGCCAATGGAGCTGCGAGGGCAGTGGCAGTGTGCAGTGCTCCCTGGCTGCCCCTACACGTAGGAGCCAGAGGGGGGACATGCCGGCTGCTTCCCAGGAGCTGCATAGTGTGAAGGCTAGTAGGGAGCTGCCAGCCCCACTGTGCGGAGCTGCCAACTAGACAGTCATCGGCCTGGTCAGCAGTGCTGACCGGAGCCATCAGGATCCCTTTTGAACTGGGTGTTTTGGTCGAAAACCAGACACCTGGTCAGTGGTCACCCTATTCTCTACTACTGGTTGAGAGTCATGAGTATAACTAGACCCTTAACTCCCAATTTTTTAAATAACTGTTGAAAGTTTCTTCCAGTTGTTAGGACACCATAGTTAGCATCTGAAAGGTTAGCTTCTCAAAATTGCTATCTGTAAGGCTCCAATTGCTTCTCAAAATTGCTACCTGTAAGGCCCCAGTTCTGCAATGAGCTTCCATGCAGCCGCTCAGAGCTTACAGGAGGAAAAGTCTCCCAGATTCTAAATAAACTTGAAATCTGCTGGTCCTTAAAACAGAGTTTTACCCTTTTGCATCTCAAACCAATCAATAATTGGGATTTCTGTGACTATTGTGTGCAGAATAATTGCAAATGTGAAACCCTAGATGGTCACAGATTGTCATGCTATAATAACTAAATTTTTAATCCTGATCCTTACTCTCAAAGGGCTCAGAGCACTGCAATAACAAGAAGGGGGTCAATAATATATAATAAAATCACTTCCCTCCTATAATAAAATATAATGTTACTGGGCATCTAACACCAAAAATATATATATGAAAGAAGAAATAAATGTGGGGGCACATAGCGGTCATAACAGAAATCCTTTTGTAGGGGAGGGGGAATGTTTTGAGTTATTAGTTAAAAGGAGGGAAGGTCTCTGACGGATGTGAAGGGGTAAGATGCAACTACTTAGCAACTTAAGATACAACAGTGGGACCTTAAGATGATGTTTGCAGAATAGTCCTTGCCCCTAGGAGACAGTGCAGTCTAGTGGAGAGGCCAACAATGGACTGGGAGTTAGGCACTTCTAATCCTGGTATTCGCACTGATCAACTTGGGGAATTTGGGTAAGTCATTTAATGTTTCTCTGTCTCAATTTCTCCATGTGTAAAGTGTTGAGAATTATACTTATTTTCCTTTGTAAAGTGCTTTTGGATCTTCAGATGAAAAATGCTATCTAAGAGCTTATATTGTACCCCACGAGCTGTAAAAGTCAAAAAGACCCATTTACATTAATCTGCAGCCCTGCAGGGAAAGTGTAACATGATTGTAGATTGCTGAAAGCAGTGCTCCTTTATTCTGGACAACTTATTAGTGAAGAAGATGATCTATTAGGAGGTAATTAGAGGAACTGAGCAGTGCATCAAGGCCACCTCAGTGTGCTTTGTAAAGGCAATCTTCTCATCATGTACTCCCATCCCCAGAGCTAAAATCACTATCTGTGCAGTGCTCTGAGACCAGCAAAACAACAGATTGGAAAAGTGAACCTGAGTCTGTTGTGTTTTTTGTGTGTTTGTACAATGCCTAGCACAGGGGTGAGGCCCTGGTCCATAACTGGAATCCCTAGGCATTATCACAATACAAATAAACAATAATTATGTAGCATGTAGACTTAGAAAAGGCACAGATAACTTTGTCTAAGCTACTAACAACACCTGAGATTATAAGTGAAAAATTTTAAACTAACTTTTTTTCCCCATTAATTTTATTTACTTTTTGCATTTCACTCAGTTTGGACAATGAAAACTACTTGCTGGTTTCTCTTTCTGGTTCTCATGCAATAACACAGTGTTTGGGTTTGTCCAAGGTTTAAATCCAAACTACAAGCTTTTAACATTTTCGTGAAATGAAGACAAATGTTTTTATTGAAATTTTTGTTTGTAAAGAAAACCTACATTTGGGCCTAAAATGACCTGACACGAGGCTTTAACAGTTACAGCGTTAGCATTTATAAAGCTCCAAAGCTTGTCTGAGGTTGTTAATGCTGTTTTTAAATTATTTATTTGTTGCTAAGCCTGAAAGAAGGAAGGATGGTTTTGTGGATAAGGCCTGGGATCTTATGGGTTTAATTCGCATGTTTGCCATAGACTTCCCTTGTGACTTTGGCTAAGTAATTTTGTGCCTCAATTCCACATCTGTAAAATGGAAATAATAATATTTCTTTGCATCCTTGACTGTGTTGTCTTTATAGAATGTGAGCTCTTTGGGTCCAGAACTGTCTTAGTGTAAGTAAAGAAAGTAGCGTCGTGGGACCTCTAAGTGATTCTAGAATATAATAAGAAACAATCTCCTTATGAAAACATAAATAGATTATAGTATTTTGCTAGTGTAACAGCCACCAGCTTGGCCAACCACTAGGCACCTCCAGAGCTAAATGCAAAAGCTGCCACAGCTTGAGCTAAAGAGTCAGGTTCTGTGGGTTGTAACAGACTCATATCCTCTGCGAATTGGGCACCAAGAGGGCTGTGTAATGCACATGGACCAGTAGGTTACAAAGGCCTGGTCTACACTACGAGTTTATGTCGGATTTAGCAGCATTAAATCCGAATTAACCCTGCACCCGTCCACACAACGAAGCCATTTTTTCGACATAAAGGGCTCTTAAAACCAATTTCTGTACTCCTCCCCAACGAGGGGATTAGCGCTGAAATCGACATCACCGTTTTGAATTAGGGTTAGTGTGGACACAATTCGAAGGTATTGGCCTCTGGGAGCTATCCCACAGTGCACTGTTGTGACTGCTCTGGACAGCACTCTGAACTCGGATGCACTGGCCAGGTGTACAGGAAAAGCCCCGGGACTTTTTGAATCTCATTTCCTGTTTGGCCAGGTGAGCTCATCAGCACAGGTGACCATGCAGTCCCAGAATCGAAAAAGAGCTCCAGCATGGACCGAACGGGAGGAACTGGATCTGATCGCTGTATGGCGAGAGGAATCCGTGCTATCAGAACTACGTTCCAAAAGACAAAATGCCAAAACATTTCAAAAAATCTCAGAGGCCATGAGGGACAGAGACTATATCAGGGACGCAACACACTGCCGCGTGAAACTTAAGGAGCTCAGACAAGCATACCAGAAAACCAAAGAATCAAACAGACACTCTGGGACAGAGTCCCAGGCGTGCCGCTTCTATACTGAACTGCATCCAATTCTAGGGGGGGCCGCCACCACTACCCCACCCCTGTCCGTGGACTCTGAGGATGGGATACTCTCCGCCATGGCTGAGGATTTTGCAGATGGGGAAGATGAGGAGGAGGACGAGCTTGGGGAGAGCACACAGCACACCATTTTCGCCGACAGACAGGATCTTTTTATCACCCTGACTGAAATACCCTCCCAACCCAATGAAGCCGGAGAAGGGACCTCTGCTGAGTGTACCTTTTTAAATATAATACATGTCATAAAAGCAAGCGTTTTTTAATGATTAAGTAGCCCTGAGGACTTGGGATGTATTCGTGGCCAGTACTGCTACTGGAAAAGTCTGTTAACATGTCTGGGGATGGAGTGGAAATCTTCCAGGGACATCTCCTTGAAGTTCTCCTGGAGGTACTCTAAAGCCTTTGCAGAAGGTTTCTGGGGAGAGCAGCCGTATTCCGTCCTCCATGGTAGGACACTTTACCATGCATGCTAGTAGCAAGTAATCTGGTATCATTGCATGACAAAGCCTGGCAGCGTATGGTCCCGGTGTTTGCTGGTATTCAGGCAACATCCGTTCTTTATCTCTCTGTGTTATCCTCAGGAGAGTGATATCATTCATGGTAACCTGGTTGAAATAGGGGAATTTGATTAAGGGGACATTCATAGGTGGCCGTTCCTACTGGGCTGCTTGCCTGTGGCTGAAAATAAATCCTCCCCGCAGTTAGCCACACGGTGGGAGGGGGGGCCATTGGCACTGAGCTGTTCGCGTTTGGCTAGCAGGGATCTTCCCTGATACCAGCCAGGCGGTGGGGGAGGGGAAAAGCAATCATCCCAGAGAATTGGATGGGGGGAAGGGGTTAGTTTGGTTTCTGCTGCTGCACGTTAACAGGAAAACTGCAGCAGTAAATGGCCAACTCAACGGGATTTGCTTGGTATGGGAAAGGAGGGGCTGCTGTTATGAAGGTTGCAGAAGCCGAAAGACTATAGCTTACCATGGGTGCCTGCAAGCCAAATTCTGTTGCCTGCGTGTGATCTCTAACACCAAAGCTGCAGGCACTCAATATAAGATGCAAAATGCGACCTTGTACCAAAATCACATGTGCTATGTAATGTGAATAGTGTTGTTCACTGTGAAAGAGTATAGCCATTGTTCTGTAAAATGTATCTTTTTAAATACTTCACTCCCTTTTTTAACTCCAGCAGCTGCAAATGTTTCAAGCCTCCCTCCTCCATCCCAGAGGCTATCTCAGATAAGGCGGCGAAAAAAACGCACCTGCATTGACATGTTCTCTGAGCTCATGCGGTCGTCCGGCACTGACAGAGCTGTGTGGAGGGACACAATAGCAGAGTACAGGACGGTGGCCGATGAACGTGAGGAGAGGTGGTGGTAGGAAGATCAGAGGAGGCATGAGGAAACGCTGGGGATACTGCGGGATCAAACGGACATGCTCTGGCGTCTGGTGGAGGTTCAGGAATGGCAGCAGGACCACAGACTGCCGCTGCAGCCCCTGCTTAACCGCCCTCCCACCTCCCCAAGTTCCATAGCCTCCTCACCCAGACGCCCAAGAACGCGGGGTGGGAGGCTCTGGGCACCCAACCACCCCACCCCAGTGGACAGCCCAAGCAACAGAAGGCTGGCATTCAACAAGTTTTAAAGTGGCCTTTTCCTTCCCTCCTATCCTCCTCCCACACCCCACCCAGGCTACCTTGTGAGTTATCTCCCTATTTTTATAATCAATTAATAAAGAATACATGTTTTTTAAATGATAGTGACTTTATTTCCTTTGCAAGCAAGCTGTGATCGAAGGCAGGAGAGCGGATGGCTTACAGGGAATTAGAGTCAACCAAGGGGGCGGGTTTTCATCAAGGAGAAACAAACAGAAGTGTCACACAGTACCCTGGCCAGTCATGAAACTGGTTTTCAAAGCTTCTCTGATGCGCACTGCTTCCTGCTGTACTCTTCTAACCGCCCTGGTGTCTGGCTGCGCGTATTCAGCTGCCAGGCGATTTGCATCAACCTCCCACCCTGCCATAAACGTCTGCCCCTTACTCTCACAGAGATTGTGGAGCACACAACAAGCAGCAATTACAATTGGAATATTGCTTGTGCTGAGATCTAACCGAGTCAGTAAACTGCGCCAGCGCGCTTTCAAATGTCCAAAAGCACATTCTACCACCATTCTGCACTTGCTCAGCCTATAGTTGAACAGCTCCTGACTACTGTCCAGGGTGCCTGTGTATGGCTTCATGAGCCAGGGCATTAAGGGGTAGGCTGGGTCCCCAAGGATAACTATAGGCATTTCAACATCCCCAACAGTTATTTTCTGGTCTGGGAAGTAAATCCCTTCCTGCAGCCGTTTAAACAGACCAGAGTTCCTGAAGACGTGAGCGTCATGAACCTTTCCCGGCCATCCCATGTTGATGTTGGTGAAATGTTCCTTGTGATCCACCAGTGCTTGCAGCACCATTTTAAAGTACCCCTTGTGATTTATTTACTGGCTGCCCTGGTGGTCCGGTCCCAAGATAGGGATATGCGTTCCGTCTATAGCCCCACCACAGTTAGGGAATCCCATTGCAGCAAAGCCATCTAGTATGACCTGCACATTTCCCAGAGTCACTAACTTTGATAGCAGCAGCTCAGTGATTGCGTTGGCTACTTGCATCACAGCAACCCCCACAGTAGATTTGCCCACTCCAAATTGATTCCTGACTGACCGGTAGCTGTCTGGCGTTGCAAGCTTCCACAGGGCTATTGCCACTCGCTTGTGAACTGTGCAGGCTGCTCTCATCTTGGTATTCTTGTGCTTCAGGGCAGGGGAAAGCAAATCACAAAGTTCCATGAAACTGCCCTTATGCATGCAAAAGTTTCGGAGCCACTGGGAATCATCCTAGACCTGCAACACTATGTGGTCCCATCACTCTGTGCTTGTTTCCCGGGCCCGGAATCGGCGTTCCACGGCATGAGCCCGCCCCATTAACACCATTATCTCCAAATTGCGGGGGAACGCGGTTTTAGAGAAGTGTGTTCATGTCCTCATCACTGTGCTGCTGTCGCCTTCTCGCCTGGTTTTTCAGGTGCTGGTTCTGCATACGTTGCACGATAATGCGCAAGGAGTTTACAATGGTCATAACTGCTGTGGTGAGCTGAACGGGCTCCATGCTTGCTGTGCAATGGTGTCTGCTCCTGCTCGGGCAATCCAGGGAAAAGGGTGCAAAACAATTGTTTGCCGTTGGTCTGGCGGAGGGAGGGGCAACTGACAACATGGCTTACAGGGTTGTCTTACAGGGAATTAAAATCAACAAAGGGGGTGGCTTGGTGAGAAACAGAATGGCCCCCTCAAGGATAGAACTCAAAACTGGGTTTAGCAGGCTGTTGATTTCACGGAGGGAGGGAGGAGAAAATGAATACAAAACAAATCTGGTCTATTTCTAGTTTTGAGCTACTTCATCTATCTTTATACATCTTGCTGGCAGCAGTCTATGCAGTACGACCGCTAGCCATTGTCATCGCCTGGGTGCTCGGCAGAAGACGGTGCAGTATGACTGCTGGCCATCGTCTTCTGCTGGCTGCAGATTAAAAGACAGTGCACTGCTGGTAGGACTGAGTTGCCATGAGACGAAACTTAAAAGGGAAATGACCTGGCTGAGTCACTCCCATGTTTGCCTAGGTGCCCATGATCTCATCGAGGTCAGGTAAAAGAGCACCCTGGACTACGTTGACGACGGCTACCAGTTATACTGCACTGTCTGCTGCCAAAAGGCAATAAACTGTTGTTGTGTAGCAATGCAGTACCACGTCTGCCAGCACCCAGGAGACATACGGTGACGGTTAGCTGAGTGGGTTCCTTGCTGTGGTATGGTGTCTGCACAGGTAACTCAAGAAAAAAGGCGCAAAACAATTGTCTGCCCTTGCTTTCACGGAGGGAGGGAGTGGGGCCTGATGATATGTACCCAGAACTACCCACGACAATGTTTTAGCCCCATCAGGCACTGGGATTTCTACCTAGAATTCAAATGGGTGGCGGAGACTGCGGGAACTGTGGGATAGCTACCCACAGTGCAATGCTCCAGAAGTCGACAGTTGCCTCGGTACTGTGGACACACTCCGCCAACTACATGCACTTAGAGCATTTGTGTGGGGACACACACAATTGACTGTATAAAAACGCTTTCTACAAAACCGACTTCTATAAATTCGACCTAATTTCGTAGTGTAGACAAGGCCAAAGGGACATATTAAACCATCAGGTACATTTTTCAGTTTTTCTTGCCTTTTCTTTGCTGTAAACCAAGGTGTTGGGGTAGACAGTATTGTTCTGTTTTCTGAATCATTCCTGTTCATTTAGTGATAATAGCACATAAAACAGCATGTACAGTGTCACAGTTCAGCACAGTCAAGCAAGCATAATTTCACCAAGCTCAAGATTATGGATGCCATGAATGAAACAGGGGTGCCAGCAAGAGAATGTTAATCATAAAGGAGAATGCTTCTGTTCACCTGTCAGTAGTCCGGCAATCGGTAGTGTTGGGAGAGGGAAAAAGTGATGAGTTTAATCTGGGGGGGGGGGGTAAAAGCAGCTGGGGCTGCTGCCCCTTGTCCCTATCCCGCTCCTTGCTGTAACTTGAGAGGCTACGAATAACTGCCGGCAGGTGGCGCCCGTAGCTCAGGAGCCTGGACTCCGGGCTATTTATATCCCATGATTACAGTGCAGGGGCTCAGCTTTTCCAGCGACTTCGAAGGGGGTGGGGGGTAGAGAGGAAAACACCACCCCAGCCTCACTGTGTCCCTTCTGTCGCCATATTCTCCATGCAGATCTCCAGCAAGCAAGCACCCCGGCTCAGGGCAGCACGAAACTTCAACATCCCCTAAAAAATCCAGGCTTTAGTAAGGGGAGCACCTTCTAGGAGCTGCAGGGCAAGATGACTAACGTGTCCTATCACATCTCTAACCTCCTGGAGAAGATGACATCCACTGACAAAGATTTTAGGTAGGATCGCAGCTGCTGTTTGAGATTAGTTTGGGGGAGATCTCGTTAATCGCAACTCACTAGTTAGGGGTAGCAAGGTGCGTATCTGCAAACCCATACAAGGGAGAGATCTTGTTGACTGCAGCTAGTTCAACCCTCCTAGAGTAGAGAGGGGTTGTTTTATTAATTGCAGCTAGTACAAAACCCGAAAAAAGAGGAGGTGTCAATTGCAAAATTCCTTAAGGGTCAGCTGCAATCAGTGCAATCTCCCCGCCCCCCAAACGGTGAGGAATCTGCTGTATGTTCTGGGATTGATTAGTAAACACATGAATGCCCAAACGAAGGGCTCCGTGGTTGGTGGTGGGGAAACAAGCTAAGTTTTTTTTAGTTTATCTTACAAGTGGTTAGAGATTTTGCTCTTATTTTATAGAACTCTCAACCTCCACCCCCCCATGCCCGAATTGGGGCCTGAGGGGCACTGGACAGCAGCAGCTAGGGGAGAAAAAATCCTAATCAGCTGCTATTATCTGGGAAAATATCTGCTGTGTGTTCTGTGCTGTTCAAGAAAAATAAAAAGGCATATGAGGCCTTCTTTTAAAAGTAGTTGGATGGTGGTGGTCCCTCATCACTGGTTTATTTGTATGTGTTTGGAGGGGGGTGAACAAACCCACTTGGAGTTCAAATAAAGTAATAGTGTAGGACAGTGAATCATCAGTCATAAGCCACAAAAGTGAAGGGGAAAGTTGGTATGGAGTAACACATGTAGCTTTTATTGGCCTGAATAAATGATTAAGTAAAAGGGTAAGATATCCCAACCTGTTAAAGAGGAACTAAGGGTTACTATTATCAGGTAGTTAGGGGCCCAAAATACAGATTTTTTTTTTTATGTTAAAAACAGAATTTATTATTTTTTAAAATATGCGTCTACAACTTAAACATTGCAGCATTGTGCTAGAGAACCCTAAGTGAAGCTGACTAGAAGGAAACACGCAATTGTCTCTTTTAATTGTCCAAAAACAGAGAAATACCTAAACTGAACAAATAGTTTAATAATGAGATAAGCAAATTAAAACAACTTCTATTTTAATAACCTCAGGGCCAAAACTATGCCGTAAGTGACTTCTGTTGGCATCAGTGGGATTTGTTCTAGAGTATCAAAGAGCAGATCTTAAAATAGAATTTGATCCTAAAATATTATTAGTGGCTTGTTCAGATTTTTAAAATGATTTTATTTTAATTAAAGGTCCTTTTAAATTAAGTAGTAATTGTCCTGTGTGTGTATCCTCTTACCATCCATTCATGCAGTTGGATTTTGAAATACTTCTTTAAGGAGTACTTTAATTTTATTGGTCATGGTTTTGTCATGTTTTATGTGCAGCATTTTGCCTTTGAAAAGTGTTTTATGGAACTGCAGTAAAGTGTAGCACATGTACCCAAGGATATGGATACAGTATTACAGGTATTCGCTGTGCTCAAATCCTTTATTTTTAAACTATATTGGCATGTTGAGGAAATATTTTGTTTCCACTAAAATACTTCTCTAAATGGACCAAGATGCTCAGCTGCTTTTATTCTTTTGGGTATATATGTTTCTGGAAAGGCAAATAAACCTTGTTAGACTTTGGAGTCAGTGGTATTCAAGGTGCTCTATAACTAAAATGTAATAGGTGTGTTTAAAAAATGTGCTGATTCACTATGAAAGATTTTTACTCTATTGCAATTCTGCCAACTGTACCCCTGCCCCCAGCCAGAATGGGTAATGTTTATGCCAGATAGGAAGGTTTGAGGTACTTTATAAGA